AGGCTTTTCCCTATTAAATTCCCTTGTGTTTTTACCTGGCTCTGTATTGGTAATTTCCCACAATAAACACTGGTCTACTTTAAAAGTAAGGGTGACAATATCTTTGCTATAAATCTCCATTCATCAGAAATAGGCAGAATTGCAGTTCCTATGTCTTTAACATATGTTTAATGCCTCAACATCTAATGGAACCTAAAAGATATTTACAGATGACAGCACATAGGGATTGCTAGTGCCTAAGTTCAACAGAAGCTGTTAAAAATTGCTCTTTGAGGGCAGTTTCTCTAGGAAGTTGGCCAGAACCTGATGTGCTTTATCAAAGAGAGTCTTTTCTTACTTGTCTAGTGTTTAAAGTAGATTGTCACTGGTGAGGGGAGGCCGCTTAAGCTGCCACTTCAGTACAGATATGGATACAGACATTGATAGGGATATGATGTGACTGTGAATATAGATATACACATAGACTTAGATATTGATATAGATATGGATGTCAATACAGATATAGATCCTGGTCCATACCCTTCAGTCTGGACAGTCCTGAAATCACAACCAAGAACCATGCTTCCTCTGACCTACCTTCAACATGTTCAATGCCTCCTGGCGACACTCAGAAAGAATGGACCTGTCCCACCCACTGGGTTATATAGAAGGGGAAAGTGAAAATCTCCTAGTAGTGGTCCTCCATTTAGTCACAACTATAGTATGTATGATTGGGAAAATACCTCACAATGAAACCATCTGGGCACCAACTGGGAATTGGTCCCAGGAATATCACAAAACTCCAGTGCTGAAATCCCTTGAGAAGAATGGTGCAGTGTTTACAAATAACAGACTCTCATCCGCTTGTAAATTTTATCTGATTCTAGATTGCAATGCAACTAATAGGAAGGAAAGCCTAGGAAATTGCTCAATACCTGATGTTATTTATGAAATAGTGCTAAGAAAAATCTTTATACATATTTAATTTACATGTTTGTGTGTTTTGAGACAGTATGTTGCTATGTAAGCCAGTATGATCTGTAGAGTCACGATGTAGCTTAAGTTGTCTCAGATTTGTCATTCTCAAGCCTCAGTATCTGAAGTGCTAGGGTTGCTGGTGTGGGCCAAACCTAGCAGAAAATGTCTTTCTCCTAAGTATTTTCATTCCACAGCTGGGTAAATGTACAGGTAAAGAATCTGCCTTTATGTAGAATCATCTATAATTTTTGAAGATGAATGCATACATACAGAGAAACTTCACTTCCAAATACTTGTACAATGTCAAAAATACTTACATCTGTTCAACAAATGATTGAACCAGATTATTCCTAGAAAGAATCCTACTAACATGACATTACACTAAACAAACAGTGTTGAGTCCACACTGGGAAATCTTGTGTATCAATGAAATAAAAATCTGTGTATCAGATGAATGATAGAAATGATCACCAACTTAATTTTGGCTTGAAAGCAACTTCTTACATTTGCTATTATTTAAATCAACCTTGAACACCTGTAAAGTTAACCTGCTGAGTCAGAATAATGAAAAGGTGGTAACAGTAGATCACAAGGCATGGTTTAGGAAGGTTGAGAACTGCTGCTTTATAGTGATTGAACAGCATCATAACTCAAAAGTTGAAACTGGAATAGCTGTAGAGATGGATCAGAGGTTAATATCTAATTCAGAGGACCTGGGTTTGTTTCCCAGCACACACATAGTAGCCCTCAATTATCTATAACTCCAGTTGTAGAGGATCCAATGCCCTCTTTAGAACTCTATAGGCATCTGACACACACATGGTAAACAGACATATGAGCAGGTAAAATACTCTTTCACAGAAAGGAAAAAGAAATCTAAAATAAATAACTTTTAGGTATAATTGAATCTGGAGAGGTAGCTTAGTGGCCCTTGATGGGATTTATATCCAAGTATGCCGTTAAAAGTCTGGTGTTCCAAGCATGCCATAACCCCAGCTCCACAGTGGAGGTGGAGTCTGGAGGATAATAGGGCTTGTTGTTTCCAGCCTAGCTGGGTGAATGCCAAGCCCATGTTAAGAGAGAGACACTAATCAGTTTCCCCATCTGGCCTCCATGTAATAGGTGTGTGCATCCACCCTCAAAGTACATATACACTCAAACAGACACGCAATAATAGTAATAATATTATTATAATAAATAATAATAATAATTAATCACATTTCTTTCCAAATTCTAAGCAACCACTTCCAGAGCTTGCATCAGGAATCACTGTAGCACCGCTACCATGGGACCTGCCCCCTCTTCTGTGTTATGACTCAGAAAATCATGGCTCTTCTGAAACTTCCCTTTCTATCTCTTGTTCTTTGAGATACTGAACAAAGGCTGGGTATGATATACCTGACACTCTGAGGCATCCCTGTCTTTATATAAACCCACTCAATTTTTCACCACGTGGTTGCTTACAATTGGTATAGATTCCTCTATTTCTCTTACCTATCTTCACCTTCCAGCAGCAGCCAAGACTTAACAAACTCTAACAAAATTGCCCTTGAGTTCGCCCTCAGTCTGTTTCTCACACCAGTTTCCATGGTACCAGTGTGTTCCCCTGAGCTTCTGATACTATATGAATAAAATGGGACTCTAAAGAATTTCTTGTAAGAATAAAACAGGTAGTCACACTCCAGGACCTTAGCATCTGTCTGAGAAGTACCCCAGGCTGTGGTTCATGCCACCCCAACAGCTAGCAAAGCATTTGAGAATGTGTCCCAAGGTCACCACTCTTGAATCAAGTCTTGGAGGCCACACTTAAAACATGATGAGGAACCCACTGAGCAGACACAGAAGCATGTTCTTTTGAACCTACCACAGTAGGACAATGCATTTTGTATGAGTGTTATGCCTGCATATATGTAAGTGCCACACATTTGTGCAGTACATTCAGAGGTCAGAAGATGGAGACGGATCCCTTGCAACTGGAGTCACAGATGGTTGTGAGCCATTTATTGTTGGGGTTCTGGGAATTGCAACCATGTCCTCTAAGGAACAGGCAGTGGTCTCA